TTTTTCTTTTTTACTTTTAATTTTGAGACAGGGTCTTGCTAGGTTGCTGAGGCTGACCCCAAACTTACCATCCTCCTGCTGGAATAACAAGCATGCTCCACTGACTCAGCCTAAAATAAAGTACTTTCGAGCAATGAAAGATGCTTCAGGCTCATTTTGTGTGTGTGTGTGTGTGTGTGTACATGTTTTTCTGCTCAACCTCTAGAATTAACCATTTCCCCGAGGAGAGCTGCTTCCTTACATCAGAAAATGGTACTTAGAAACCAAGATCAGGGTGCTGGGTGTACACATTGCTCTTGGGGTGTCATTACAATGGATTCTCAGCAGAACTGGGAAGTATGTGTGTTTATGTGTGTGTGGTGTGGTTTAATCTATTTTATTTTGAAAATAACACAATATCACAGACTAGGTAATTTATAAAGAAGTCTATTTTGACTCATGGTTCTGGTCCAAGGTCAAGGGGCCCCTCTGATGATGGTGTTGCAGAGTCTCAAGGTAGTGCATGATAAAATGTGGCAAGAGACCTGGGGCTCTGAAGAAATGTAGCCAAACTGACTTTTATAGCAGACCCATTCTCAAGATAATAAATAGATTAGTCCATTAATCCATTAATTAATCTACTCATGAGAGAAGATCCCAATCACCTCTTATAGGTCCCACCTGATTCCAACTCTTAATATTTCACAAGTGGGAATGAATTTCAACATGAGTTTTGGAGAGGACAAACCATAGCAGTGTCTCTGTGTATATGTACTAACCCATGTATACACAGGTATCTATATTTATTTTCTTCTGTGTTAAAAGAAACATGATATACTGATAACTCCAGTCCAGCATCACATTGCTTATTTGTAACTTATTTGTAACCTTCCTTCTCCAATAGCATAAAACCTGGCTCCAATACCTACAACATAATTGTACTTGTTCAACTCTAGCATGCAAATATCTTTAGAATTGTTAAGCTGTACATCTGTGAGAAACAAATTTACTGACAAGAATACAGTTTTTCTGACTGCTGTTTGAGAGGGAAATCTGACTGAGCTGAACATATCGGCCTGTGGGTAGGAGCCAAAGTTGGTCCTCTGGCCTCCAGTTTGAGACCACCCCCCACAAACCCTGTGGCTCTGATTTCTGGCCATGGGAAAGTTGTCAGTTCACACCTTCCTGCTGTCAAGTTCAAGTGTCAGGATTTTGTGGAGGAGGGGTGGGAATAGGAAGCTCTGAAGCTTCCTGCTGAAGCAGCCTACTGGCTCCGAGGGTGGGTCAGGGGTGTGAAGGGGCCATGCAAGACATAGACCCTGCTCTGCCAGAGAGTGGGCACAGACTGGGCGGGGCAGCCCCTGTGGGCGAGGGCCCAGCAGAACCTGCTGGGCAGGTGTGCTGGCCCAGGCAAGCCTTAGGCAGGCAGGCTGCAGCAGGATCAGGGAGGCCAAGGGTGAAACCTGACTGCCTGGTGAGTGGGAGTGGGAATGGGGTGGGGGTGGTGGTGCCCTGGACAGATGGGGCCTGAACCCTGATCCTTCCTAATTTGTCTGAGGGTTGGGGATATAGTGGCAATCAATGCTAACCTATACTAATATTTATGGAGCTCTCATAGTACACCCAATCTTTATTAAAACTCTTCATGCTGGGGGGGGCGCTGGGGTTGTGGCTCAGTGGTAGAGTGCTTGCCTAGCACGTTTGAGGCCCTGGGTTCTATTCTCAGCACCACATAAAAAACAAAAAACAAACAAACAACAGCAACAACAACAGCAACAACAAAACTTTTCATGCTCCACAGCCCTGGGAGTGGGCACTGTGATTATCTCAATTTTACAGATAAAACCACTATTTTACATATGAAACCACTAAGGCTCAGAGGGGTTCTTCCCAGTGTTCTAAATCACCAAGTGGCTGACCTGATTCCAGACTCTGAACCATTAACCTTTCTACATCTGGATAGCTGGACGGGCAGGGATCCCTGTCTTCTTGGAACTGAGTCTCTAGGGCAGAGACACACAGATGAACAAATGAACAAATTAACTGTAGATATGCCAACTGCCATTTGAGAATGGGGAGGAGAGGGACAGATTAGGGAAGGCCTCCCTGAGGAGATGTGTGCTGGGAAAAGCTTGGGGAAGGACATTTCAGGTAGATTGATCTTCAAATTCAAAGCTTTTGAGGTGTCTGAGGACCAAGAAGGCCAGTGGGGCTGGAACTAAGTGCGTGATGCGTCTGGGGTGTATAGAAGGGACAAGTAAAGAATTGTGGGCTCTCGGAGGACAGTTTACTCTGAGCAATCATGAGAGGATTTAGAGCCGGAGAGAGACCAGTCTGTATATTAAGAACTGTGGCTTGATGGTGGAGCAGACATTAGGGATGGGAGCATCATTTCTCCAGGGGACTCCTGACATCTGCCCCATATGCCGCAGCCTGAGTCCCCAAGGTCCCATTCCGTGGGAAAGAGGCACAAAGGGAGGAGGCCAGAGTGGAGGGTGCTAAGCCTGGGGCCCACTGCCGGAAGAGCACCACTCTGCCCCACAGGGAGGTGAGATTGCCGCCTGGGAGGTGTGAAGGGGCCACCTCACTCCCCTGGGGTGCTGTTTCCCCTTGAAGAAGGAGGTCTTTTATGGGGCACCTATTTGGTGCTGGGAGAGGCCACCACGGCCTTGGGGGATCTTTGGCTCTCATTTTGCCTGGTTAGGAGCCCAGGGCTTAGTTTATGGGGCCGAAGGACCTGGGTACTGAAGGGTTAACGCCCCTCCCCCAGGGATCCTATTGGCTGCACTGTCTATGATTGGCCTGAGCCAGCAGGAGCCGTTCTGCCGTTTTGGGCACAGCGGGGGCGGGCGGAAGCCGCCAGGATTCCCTAGGGAACACACCAGGGCGCGATCTGCGAGGATTCCTAAAGCGTTATATAGGGGACCTGACCTGGGCGCCCTCAGGATTCCTCCCACAGGGACACTGCTCCATCCATCCCCATCCTCGACTTCTGTCTCATCTCTCGTGGGGCATCCTTACCCCACCTGCTGCCAGCAGTGCCTGGAGAGACCAGGCAAAGGGCATGTCCCAAGGAAGGACAGACCCAGGCCCCTTCCCGGCTGTAGCCTCTGGTCTGAGGGCTGTGGCCTCTGGTCTGAGGGCTGGGCCCTCCAGGAAGCTGCGGGAACTGAGGGGAGGATTGGTGTGTGGCCAGCTGGGACTGGCGGGTTGGAGGAGGTACGGCCTGGGAGAGGCGTGGGAGAGCGACACAGAGATGGGGAGAGGGAGAACAGAGACTTTGAGAGAATCGAGGAGAGACACAGAGGAAGTGAAGGAAACATTCATTCATTCACACTCCTCAGTGGGTACTTACTGGCTGTCTCTATAGTACCGATGACAGTACCAACCCTGCTCCCGTGGAGGCGACTGGCTGACAGTACAGTGGGGACAGAGCCCAGAACACAACATATAAGTAAATCACCTCTTCAGGAGCGACAAGAATGGGTGCGGGGAATGCAGGAACCAGGAGGCTAGACGATTCACACCCTCCTTATTCGGGGACCGGGAAGTTCCCATTTGAATCCTGCCTGTGTCAGCCCCTCCCCCATTCTCCCCGAGCGGGGAGTTGGAGGGAAATGGGGAGGGGCCTCTGCTTGGGAGCAGTAGGGACTTATCCGCAACAGCGAGAGGACACAAGCTCGAGGACCTCCGCCCCTGCTCAAGACCCCTGCTAATCTGCGCTGCCTGGTCCTCCGTTAACGAGAGGTCCTAGGGGCGCAACCCAGGAGGGTGTGGAAAGTGGGGAGTGGCGGTGCTGAGGCTCTAGAGGATCTCTTTGATGGGAGTGGGGAAAAGCTCTTTAGGTTGGGGCCGCCCGCGCTGAAGAAACCTTCCCTAAGCAGGGCTCCAGGTTCTCTCACCGCGACGGAGCGTCCCTGGGAGCGCAGCCCAGCCCCCGAGCGGGAAGCTGAGGGCTCGCCGGTGCCAGTCGCCGCCGGGGCGCTCTCCGGTGCCGCGGCGGGTGGCACAGGCTGGCAGCCACGGGCTGAGTGCCCAGGTCCCAACGGGAGGGGTAACGGCTTGCGATCGCTGTCCCTCCCCGCCTGGGACCCGCCCCCTAGACTGCCAGCCCCAGACCCGCCCCCGAGCTGCACATTCGGCTGTAGGCAGCACACCACCTGGGCACACTGGTGAGTATCCAGCATTAGACCCTTGAGGGCACCGGGCTCTGCATGCCTTGCCCACTCTGGGGCCTGGAAACGCACAGGGCTCCTTGCTGGGCTTTCCCGATCCTTTTCCCGGGACGTCTGGGGAGGGAAAGCCGACGACTCCCTGGCGAGGTTCAGGGTCCGAGATGGGGCTGGGGGCTTTCGGAAAACCTTGCCCTCTCTCTTTCCTGGACAGACTACTCCAAGTTCCGCTATTTCAGTCCTGGTCGAGGGGGTTGGTGCAGAAGCTAGGCGCCTCTGCGCGCCGCACGGGTCAGACACTGCGTAACCCGCGTCTCTGTGTATTTGGAGCCTCCCCCGCCCCCAGGGAGTCTGAATCAGTGACTCCCCGTGTGTCTGAATTGGCGGGTGGCTCCCGGTATGCGACTGAAGCTTTCTGAGATGTACTTATCCCTGGCGGTGTGCAAAAAGTTCTGTTCCCCAGCCTTGGATTTCTTGTCTGTTAAGTAGGAGCCGCGAGACTGTGAAAGCATTTCTGTGTGACTGTTTTGTGTGTTTTTTTCCCCTTATATTTAATTTTTAGTTGTAGTTGGACACAATACCTTTTTATTTTTATGTGGTGCTGAGGATCGAACTCAGGGCCTCACTTGTGGTAGGTGCCTGCTCTACCGCTGAGCCACAATCCTAGCCCATCTCCGTGACTGTGTTTATGTGAGAGTCAGAAAACCTCTGCGCCAGCGTCCATGTGAATTATTTCTTTTGAGCCTCAGTTTCCTCATCTGGAAATTGAGACTTAGTATAGAATTGTCAAGAGGATTAAAGGGCACGCTCGTTAGTGCGAAGTATTCTTTTGATTTAATGACATGTGGGTCTCTCTGCAAAAGCCTGTCTATGCTAAGGATTCTGACCACTGCCCTTGAGCTCTGCCTCTGACAAATGAGTGGGTAGAATTAGGTTTCTCACTGTCTTTTTTTTTTTTCTCTCCAGGAAAGAACCTTGTGTGTAGCAGGGCGTGTGGAGTGTGGGGCTCTGAGTTGCATGCAGGCTGGGTGTGGGTGGATGGAGGTTGTGAATTTGTGGCCTGTGCTACAGTGTGAGCCCTGTCTTCATGAGAATGAATTTTGTGTTCTTGCTTATCTCTCTCTGCTTTTGTCACTAGTCCCATGTCTGAATGTATTTTCGCTTTTTCTTCTGTTTGGTGGGGCAAAACTATTTTTGCCCTTGTCTGTGAACGTGTGTGCACACGTACTCCTGTTACTGTGTTTGTGTGTCTCTTTCTGCATGTCTCTTGTGTTTTGGGGTGTTCCTGTCATGATTAAATATGCCTCTGGATATTCCTGCTTGTGTTATTAGTGTTCCTTTTATAGAGAATTGTGCGTCATCCTGTCCCCTCCTGATATTATGCGTGTGTATCTTCTCCATAGATACTCCCCTCCCATCCCGAACACTCTTTGAACTTCTCCTGAGCGAGTGTGAGAGAGTAGTGGGTTGGGGTTAGGGACCCTTTCCCTGGGCCTTCTAGACCTTGTCTGTTCCTACCTTGCTGGCTTTGGGACAGTCCTCAGAGAGAACAGCCCTACTGACACTGCCCTGTCTTCTTCGCAGCCTTGGGGCAGCAGCCCATGGAGTCAGGGCTGCTGCGACCAGCGCCGGTGAGCGAGGTCATTGTCCTGCATTACAATTACACCGGCAAGCTACGCGGAGCGCGCTACCAGCCCGGCGCAGGATTGCGTGCAGACGCTGTGGTGTGCCTGGCGGTATGCGCATTTATCGTGCTGGAGAACTTGGCGGTGTTGTTCGTGCTCGGGCGCCATCCGCGCTTCCATGCGCCCATGTTCCTGCTCCTGGGCAGCCTCACACTGTCTGACATGCTAGCAGGTGCTGCCTACGCCATTAACATCCTACTGTCCGGGCCACTCACGCTTCGATTGTCACCTGCGCTCTGGTTCGCTCGTGAAGGAGGCGTCTTTGTGGCGCTTGCCGCGTCGGTGCTGAGCCTCCTGGCCATTGCACTCGAGCGCCATCTCACCATGGCGCGCCGGGGACCCGCGCCCGCTGCCAGTCGAGGGCGCACACTGGCGATGGCCATCGCAGCTTGGAGCGTGTCGCTGCTCCTCGGGTTACTGCCCGCGCTCGGCTGGAACTGTCTGGGTCGCCTGGAGGCTTGCTCCACTGTCCTGCCTCTCTACGCCAAGGCCTACGTGCTCTTCTGCGTCCTCGCCTTCGTGGGCATCTTGGCGGCCATCTGTGCACTCTATACGCGCATCTACTGCCAGGTACGAGCCAATGCAAGGCGACTGCGAGCACGACCAGGGGCTAGCAAAGGCACCTCCACCCGCTCGCGCCGCACACCACGATCCCTGGCGCTGCTGCGCACACTCAGCGTGGTACTCCTGGCCTTCGTGGTGTGTTGGGGCCCTCTCTTTCTGCTGCTGTTACTAGACGTGGCATGCCCCGCCCGCGCCTGTCCTGTGCTCCTGCAGGCCGACCCCTTCCTGGGCCTAGCCATGGCCAACTCGCTTCTGAACCCCATCATCTACACGCTCACCAACCGTGACCTGCGTCATGCGCTCCTGCGCCTTGTCTGCTGCGGCCGCCGTCCCTGCAGCCGAGGCCCGAGCAGTGTCCAGTTATCTGAAAGCGCTCCTGGGGCTTCAGGCGGCCTGCGCCGCTGTCTACCCCAGGACTTGGACCCCAGCTCCAGCCGCTCTGAGCGCTCATCGCCCCAGAGAGATGGACTGGACTCCAGCGGCTCCACCGGCAGCCCCAATGCGCCCACAGCTCCTCGGACCCTGGTACCCGAACCGGTAGCAGATTGACGCCGTCAATCTGTCGTTGACTTTCCCAAGAGTTCTTTGGCAGACTTTTTCTTTTTTAAAAGAGAAATTTGTAGGAGACACAGCCAAAGACGGCGGAGACAGAAGAGACAAAGGGAAAACATAAACTCCCCAAAAAGAACAGACAAAAATTTTCCACCCTTGTGGAATTGACGTTCTGGTAGGGGAACGGACAACACAGTGATGTAATAATAATGGAGATAATTCCAGTGACCTTACAGGGACGTTATGAGACAGTGTAGAGGTGATGACACATAATGTGAGCTGAGGTGTCATTGTCCTGGGGAACACCTGAAGGAAGAGTATTTCAGGATGAGAAAACAGCAAGTGCAAAGATCCTGAGGTTGGAATGTGCCCATGTATTCTATGAAAAGCTAGGATGGGGCTGGGGATGTGGCTCAAGTGGTAGCGTGCTCGCCTGGCATGCATGCAGCCCGGGTTCGATCCTCAGCACCACATACAATATTAAAAAAAAAAAAACAGAAAAAAAGAAAAGCTAGGATCTCCACGTGGGCAGAGCAGCAGATAGAGGGAGAGAATGGGAGGAAACAAGAACAGGAAGTGACTGGGCAGAATGTAGAAGACTCTGTGGATCCTGGAATTTTGCTCTAAAGGAAGTTAGAGTCAGGAGGGGTTCTAAGCAAAGAAAGGACTGGCCCTGATTCAGGTGTTCACAGGCACCTTATGGCCAGTGTGGAGGGCAAAGGTGGAAGGCAGAAACAGGTGAAGGGACAGCACTGACCCATAGGAGTAATGAGGAGACCCCCACTATGCTCACACATGGTGAATTCTAGATAGATTTTGGAGGTAGCAAACAGAATTCCTGAAAAATTGGGTGTGAGAAAGAGGGAAAGAAAGCTGTCAGGAGCCATGCCAAGAGCAGGGCATCCTAAAATTTGATTCTGGGAGACTCAGCCAAATCCTGACAACAAAATTTCTTTGAGTGTAGTGTCAGATAATTCATTAAAAATAAAATTGCAATAAAATGAGTGGCTACAGTTTATAACGCTTGGCTAGTCCCCTCCACTGTGCTTTGCCCGGGAATCACTTATTTTTTTCACCCTATTGTAACCTTGTAAACTAGCTGTCCTTTTCCCCATTTTACAGATACAGAAACTCCAAGCAGTGAGCACCTCTCCCCAGTGTCCTGACCAGATGATTAGCCCAGGCTGTCTGGCCCCCAGGCGGGAGGAGGCCAACCCCATTATCTGGCCCCTGGATGGGTCTGGCAAGACCAGGCCAATGCGCCCCTGCCCTAGGGTCGACATTCTTGCTTGGGGGAGATACAGGGCCCCGTTTGTGTCCATAAAAGGCTGTAGGCGCTCTGACCCTGGGCCCGGCTAGTCCCCAGGCACATTCCTGACCGCTGCATTGAGGGGGTTGGCCCCGGGGCGGAGAGGGGGCGTCTGACTTGGAGTTTAGATTCACATGCGCCATCTTCTGGGAGGCCTTGGTATTGCAGGCAGCCATACAGACCCGTGATGTAGGGGTCGCTGACTGTCTTGAGCATTTCTTTTTCTTTTTTTTTTTTTAAGTTTATTTTTTTTAAAGAGAGAGAGAGAGATAATTTTTTATTTAATATTTATTTTTTAGTTTTCGGCGGACACAACATCTTTGTTGGTATGTGGTGCTGAGGATCAAACCCGGGCCCCTCGCATGCCAGGCGAGCGCACTACTGCTTGAGCCACATCCCCAGCCCTTGAGGAGCATTTCTGCCAGCCCTGCTCAGGCTGCTTCTTCAGGCCATATGCGTGTACAACTAACATGTTTCCTGGAACATGAGTATACCCCAAACCGAGGTCACAGTCCTAGGCCTCTCCCAGAACTCCTACCCATAGGCTTCTCTAATCTTCAAGGAGAATCCAAGACCTCCTTGGACACCCCACCCTGGTTCCCTTTGTTGGTGGTATGATGATAGGGGATTTATAAATTAAAAAACAAAAACAACCCCCCCAAAAAAATGCATTAGAAAAGCACTCAGCTCCCCTTCCGGGTTACCATCACTGTTGATCACTGTTGGAATTCCTGGGGAAATTTCAGACCTAGTCTGTGGATAAAAGAACTGAAATGCAAACATCTCTCTTGTCTCTCTTACACCAATTTATCACTCTTCAATGCCGATGTCTGGCTGGGCACAAATAACCGAGCTGCCACAAACCCTTGTAGATTCAAACAGCAACTCTTTATTCCCCAACTCTCACCGGCACTGCACACACCATTCAGGAATACACTCCCTCCACCAGGCTCCGTCCAGTCTCTCCGAACCCCTGGAGAACTGCCCCGCAACTCCAAAGTAGCAAGAGCCGGAGGCAGCAAGAGCTGGAGGCAGCAAGAGCCGCCCTATTGCCCTATACAGTAAAGGTCAAATATACAATTCAATCAATCCAGCATCACAGCAAAATTATATATAGCTTAATTCAAATCATCATCTCAATGGTTTGCTGGCAGTCACCTTTCAACCATTCCCTCTGGCAAATGCCAGGCGTCATTCTGACTGGGTTGTGGCTCTCAACACTTCTACATCTTGCTTTGTTCACTTAATAGCATGTCTTGGAAACATCATTTAACTATTTATTTTGAGACCAGTTCTTGATATGTTGCCCAGGCTAGCCCTGAACTGCTGGGATCAAGCAACCTTCCCACCTTAGCCTCCCCAGTGCTGGAGCTACAGGCTCTCATTGCTGCACCCCATGATCCACACATGTGGATCTTGCTGTTTTAGTCTGCTTGAACTGCCATAGCAAACACATAACAAATCCATAACAAACTGGATGGCTTAAATAACATATATTTATTTCTCTCAGTTCTGGAAGTTAGGAAGTTCAAGATCAGGGTGCTAGCATGGTTGAGTTCTGGTGAGATCTCTCTCATCCTCACCACATCTTCACATGGCAGAGACAGCAAGATCTCTCTCTGCAAGATCTGTTCTTAGAAGGGCACCCATCCACCAAACACAGTGGCACAGGGCTGTAATCCCAGCTATTTGGGAGGCTGAGGCAGAAAGATCATAAGTCTGAGGCCAGCCTGAGCAACTTAGCAAGAACTTGTTTTCAACCCCCTCCCCCCAACAACAACAACAATAACTAAAAGGCAATAATCTAATCCCATCATGAGGGTGTCCCATCTTCATGACCTCATCAAAACCAAATTACCTTTCAAAAGCCCTATCTCAAAGTATCAAAATATCATCCCACTGGGTTAACACATGAATGGGCAGAGAGTGTGTAATTCAGTCCATGATACTTGGTCTTTTCTTACATTTCCTTAAATAGGGATAAATGTCCATATAGTAAATGTTTCACTTCTTTTAAATGGCTGTGTACTAAGTCTCAGCATGGATGTGCCATCTCCTATTAAGTCATTGTTCTGAAGGTACATAGGGGTTGAGTCCAATCCTGATACATTATACTGCAAATGTTTGTGCACATACAGTACTGGTAGACAAATGTCTACCGCTGGTTCACAGGGCTGTAGGTTTGATTTTTGAGTGATAACAAGATGTCCTGGTGGATGTGCCAGGAGCCTGCTGGTTCCAACTCCTGCCACTCGGCGCATCCGCTAGGTCTCCCCCTCTGGATATGTCAGGAACTGCAGCTTCACACAAGGAGTGTGCGATGGGGTGTGCAGGAGGTGGGACTCCACCCTAACCCCTGGGTAGAGGTAGAGGAGTACAGACAAATAGTGAGTCCGCTGGATTCCCCCAGATGCTCCAGGAATACTTTTTTTTTTTTAAATTTAAATCAGCATCTCTTATTCCATCTAACGTTTCCTTTTATTATTCTCTTCGTTTAGATGATCTCTTTTAAGATAAATTTAAGTACTTTTATTACAAGTTATAACTTTATAAGGATGGCCAATTGGCTCAGGGTAGCCCCATAAACGGCTACCATAATCCAGAATCTCTCACCATAAAAATATCAACCGTTCATATTTATTGGGCCTTAGCATTCTCACTTAGCCGATAGGTGCTATTATTAGTATCCTTTTATTGGGGAAGAAACTGAAGCACAGAGAGGTTAAGGGACGGGCGAAAGGCACCGAGCTGTGGAGAGGCAGATCTAGGGTAGACGACAAAAACCCAACAAGGTAGCTAATTCTAGGTGGATCAAGAGGCTGCCGGACTCAGGCCTGGGCTGTGTGGAGTAAAAAGGAGAAGAGCAGGTGGTGGTGGTGGAGTTGCCCTGGGACGAATCTGGACGGATGGAAAGGACAGCACGAAGTGGGCTTAAGCCAGGCCAGCTTAGCTCGATGCCCGGCTCCTGGAGGACCGGCACCTGCGGGGAAGGCGGGGAATCGCCTCTTCTACCCCGCCGCGCCCTTTCCGCCCTCTCCCCGCCTCCTTCCCGCGCTCCGGGTGGATACCCCCCACCCGACGGCCACTGTGGAGTGGTTCCAGGACCTGGAACCGAGGTCCCCCGACAGTTGGTCCCACACTGAGAAGTTAGGCTGGAGTCGCCACCGACCAGGCCTCGGACCCTCGGGTTTTCCGGAAACGCTGCGTGTGGGTGGCACCACTGTGCCCAGAGCCTCCGCCTGGCCTTGGGCATCCCTATTCCGAGGACATCTACGGAGGCGACACCGGGGGTAAGGTGGGCGAGCTGGCGGGGGCGGCGGAGAGGGGTGTCCACGGAGAGGGTAGGGCGCACCGGGCCTCGAACCCGGGGCTCTGACTCCAGGCACGCGGGTGGGTGCCAGTCTCTCCGAGGTCTCCCGCCACGCCGCGTCGCAATGGCGGGCGCTGTGGTCGCAGCTCTGGGGCCGCGTAGCTTGGCGACAGCGGGCGGGGCGGGGGAGTGGGGAGAGGCCCCCTCCGGTCCCCGCCGCCCGAGGCCAGGGGCCGCGGGGGACTTTTATTGTGAAACGGCGTGCGCCCGGCTCTGCTTAGTCATGGTGACCTGCGCGCGCTCCGCGCCTCCCCCCGGCGCGCAGCGATGGAGGCGCCCGGGCCCGGGCGGCGGAGGCGGAGCCCGAGCGCGGCCATGGCGGGGTGAGTGAGGCGGCCTGGGCTCCGGCTGCGGCCACCGTGGGCGGCACACGCCCCTGCGGTTGTGCTGGGGAATCGGGGAACCCAGCCCCGCGGCCACGGGCGCCCCCGAGTGCGCGCGGCCCCGCGCAGGGCCAGGAGGGCGCGGCCCAGATCTGATCGTTTTGTTGGACGGCGAGACTCGCGGGGTGGCCAGGGAGCCACTGAAACCCCGCGAGAGGCTCAGGGGGCGCCGCCTGGACGGAGGCCTGGGGACCCCGCGGCGATAGGGGGCTGGATCTGCGCTTTGGGGTTGGCAGCCCTAGAGGCTGCGGCGGGGTCACTTCCTCCCTTCTCCAGGCCTTGGTGGCTGGGCTCAGGCGGGACATGCGCAATCCCCCACTTGTCGCTTAGTTGAGGAAAGTGTCCAGCGCCCAGGGGTCACCGTTGACCGATTGGCCAAAGGTTGAGAGGCAAGCCCGGGTCCTTGGCACGGGAAAGGAGGCCGAGAGGCGCCCTGGGCCCTGTGGATGAGGGCGCTCTGGCAGACACAGTGGAGTGGGCAGCCGGCCAGCCACCCGCTTACAGGCTCCTGAGCAGTGCCAGGCCCGGGGCGGGACGCACAGAACCGCGTCGGGGGTGGGAGGACAATGCTGACCTACGCGGGTCTCCCTGCCTCTGAACCGCTGGGACTGGGGCACAGGGACCGTCCGTCCTCCTCAAACCAGCAAAGAAAAGCATTTCATTTCCTGACACGTGCTGTAATGGAAATAAAACAGGGAGGAGGTGACTGTGGGCTGAGCCCCAGAAAGATGAGATCCAGAACCCAGGAAACCTCTTGCAGATTCTACCCCTCCCCAACCCTCTTTCAAAACATAACTCTTTCCCTGGCTCTAGTCTTGAGGCATCTCCACGAATCCCTATCTCTCCTACACCGTTCCTTGATTCTCCAGGCTGTCTCTTATCTGCCCCTGGTCCTTTGCATTGGCTTTCTTCTGCCTGGAACTTTCCCTCCTCTTTCTATGTGCATTCTTGTCTCAGCTCCAGCCTCACCTTCTCAGGCCTGATTCATGGACAAAGTCACATAGTCACAGTGCTGTTGTAATTTTCTTCGCGACCCTGATTTCTGCTCAGAACTTGCTTGTTTTCTTTATGTTCCTTTCCTCCCTAAAT